GAATCGGGAAGAACGAGGACTTTTTCAACCTGCTTCTGAAAAAATAGTTCGAGCTGCAGAACTAAATARAGAAGGTACCATCTTCTATAAGAGTGTACAGCTGCTGGCATGGCTACGCCAATTAAGAAGAAGAGGAATTCAAAATTGTAACGGATAGCAACGTATTTGCTATGAAGGAAGATGTTCCGCCCCGAGATGGGAAATTTTTTGCAAGAGTTTAATTCTACTATAGAACATAGGTCAGGATCCAAAAACAAGCATGTCGATGCTTTTAGTAGATTAGAGTGTATGTTCATAGACGAATCGTTACAGCACAGATAAAAAGAGGCACAAGAAAGGATGAATGGACGCGGGCAATTCGCAAAATATTGTAAAACAATTCTTACGAGGAATTTTTTATCTCTCGTACAAGGCAAAGGAAGTAATTGTGGTACCAAAACAAATGGAGAATGAGATCATTTTGTTAGCATAAACAAACTGCATTTTTCAATTAAAAAGACTTGGGATTGTGTAAGGAAATATTACTACATTCCAGGGGTCGAGGGAAAAATCAGAAATCTAGTAAGCAGTTGTGTCGAATGTTTAATAATAACACAAAGTGTGGTAAATTTGAAGGATTTTTGTCGCCAATTGAGAAAGAAGATTATCCCTTACGGACATTTCACATAGATCATGTGGGTCGGATGACCACGCCCGGGAAACAGTACAAATATATTTTAGTTCAGATCGACGCTTTTACAAAATTTATGTGGCTCTATCCAACAAAAGATACAAGCGCGGAGGTGGTTATACACAGGCTTTCGAAACAAGCTGACATTTTCGGCAACCCGCGTAGAATTATATCTGATATGGGATCAGCGTTCACATCACATATTGCGATAATAACAGTATTCGGTATCTACTCATTACGACGGGGTTGCCAAGAGGAAACGGGCAAGTGGAACGAATACATAGGGTAGTAATACCAATATTAGCTAACTTATCTCATCCGAATACCTCACAGTGGTACAAGTAGGAAGGTTCTGCAATTTATAAATAATTCTCCAAATCAATGTACATAACAGGCCCCATTTAAAATTTTAACATGKTGCGACATGCGGGCAAAACAAGACTGTTGCGCCAAGCGACATCTTTGTAAATCTAAAACTAAATTTAAGAAAATGAAATATTAAATTATTATAATGAATAATGAAATTGAATTTATAAATATTGAATTGTACAAAATAATATACTTACCTTAGTAATACATTTATATTACCTTCATTTATTACTTACCTTAATTAATCTATTACAATATTTAACG